AAACCGCTATTTTTAATTGTATTGTATTTTAGTGCTATTTTTAACATAGATTTATTATATTAAAAATAGCAATTCAATTTATATTAGCATTTGTGAAAATGATTGCACCATGTGTGTTAAAAAGAATATCATACACGATTATAAATAACATGAAATATGGTTCTCACGCCAGCACTAGTTTTTATATGAACCAGCCCCGAAATAGGTATATACAAAAAAAAATTATTGCAACGTCTTTTAGTGGAAAACTATTGATGTTTTATTAATTGCTTCGCTAGCAATTATATGTATATATAGACATGACCACGGGTCACTCGACCCACCGACTCGGTCCGGACCCGGCACGGAACCGGCACGGACCCGGCCCAGTCAAACCCGTCGACCACGGGTCTGCGCCCGGCACGGATTTCTAACTATTGATTTTTTTTATGTGGTCTGGTCCAAACCCGGGTCGGGCCCGGCCCGGCCCGCCGGGTCATGGACACGGCACGACTCTAGGTCCGTGCCGGTTCAGGGTCGTCAAAACCCAACCCGGCGGGCCGGGCCGGATCATGACCCGGCCCGGTTTTGGCCGTGTCTATGTATATATATAGATTTCACAATTCAACTTTTCTTTACATTATATATATGTATAAAATTTTATTATTCATTTATCCATTCACATATTTATGACTACCAATAATTGTTTTACATATCTTCAAAAAAAAAAAAATTATTTTACATGACGTTGTGTTTTGTGTCGTATATAATACATGCAACCATAGAAAAATGTTCGTCATGACCCGAAACATTATTCCATATACTCAAAACATGAAATTCGAGCATCGCATCCTAAAGGACAGGAAATTTGAGGTTCATGGAGGTACTTGCATAAGTTTGTTGATCCGTATAATTAGTTTATTTAGATAAATGAACGAACAACTCATACTAATATGCCAATTCGATATATTTGTACATCTCTTCATCGTACAATCTTGTGAAAGAAAAAAACAATTAAAAAAATTGATACACGATGATATTATGCAGCCCGTTCCAAAACCATCCAGACCAGCACCAACCGAACAAAACAAGAAATGGTGTGTTGCAAAGGAAAATGTTACTGCCTCTGCATTGCAGGACAATATCAACTATGTATGTAGCCATGGATCGTACTGCCAACCCATTCAGCCCGGTGGCTCGTGCTTCGACCCAAACAATCTGCGGGCCCATGCCTCTTTCGCCATGAATGCCTTTTATCAAGCCAATGGCCGGTATGACTTTAACTGTGACTTCTCTGGCTCTGGCGTGATTACTTCTACTGATCCAAGTACGTTTTTTTCTATGTTCTATTCGTTATCATCATTTTTTGTATTGTAAGTGTTTGCTTGTCTCGATTAGTCTCGTTTATTTTGAGAATTCTATATTATTCTTTTTTTTTTCCCAGGTACCAATACTTGCAAATATGCTTCTTGAGCTCTAAGCTGTTAGAAGATGACAGTCAATGGAGCATGTATTTTATTCGTTCGTTAAGTGGCCTCGTGATCTTGTAATATCGACTCGACCCTAGTTACATTGGCCGCCCCATGTGATTTTCTAATATCGACTCGAGATCCCAGTCAGTGACCTATTTATATAGAGAAGAGAAAAATGTGGGGGGAATTTTCTATCTGTATTCGACATTTGTGATTATGTATTATTAGTAGTGAAGTTTAATGTATTGAATCCATCAGAACTATCAAACGCTCTAATCCATTGGATATTAATTTGAATTTTATTTGGTTAATTTTGATTTATGGTTAGCTAGATTTCTCAGCAGTGGACATGAGAACCACTATCTGAATTTAATTGCGCAGCGGCCATAGGTACATCGGTTGCGGTTTTGAACATCGTTGCGGCCATAGGTGCCGTACATCGTTTGGGCAGGAAAAACAAATACCGATGATATGAATTTTGTCGCAATTTCTCTGAGTTAAAACTACAAATTTCCCTCTGTAACTTATACCTCTCTATACCTTTGGCATATAACCTCCCACAAATCCTTGGAAGTCCCTGCGCATATAAATGACTCTATAATGTCTTTTGAAAGATTGAAAATCTACAATAGTACCATCCAATCGATCTTCATCCACGCAGCATAATTTTCATCATCCAACTTCGACCACAAAACCTCTCCATTAACAACAGCAAGCTTATTTTTCGCACCTAGAGCTATGATCATTGACCATTTCCATGAAAGGAAATTGTTCCATGCTAGTTGATTTGAGAAAAGCATCGTATACTAGGATGATCTAACCCGGGGAGAGAGAACGAATCTAACAGAATCTCCTTTGTTCCCAATTATGAGTTCATCGTCATACAATGGCCATGGATTACCGCGTTATTGTTCCATTTTCAGCTTCGAGCTTCCACTAGCTTAAACGATTCGTCTGTGACAGAATTTGCAGCGGATATCCAAAGATCACTGCTCTGGTATACTACGTGATAATCGAGAGCAAAATTTGGGGAGAAAATATCCATTCCTTATCTTTCCATTTCAATTTCCAAAATTCATACGTACAGTCGCATTATATACAAACACATATACATGCATGTTAAGTACTAAAACGACATCGTGTACTAGTAAGCAAAATGACGTCGTTTACATCAAAACTAAAATCGATTCTTTAATAAAAATGCTACCCGACTTTGATCAAAGAAAAAACGCAACAGACATCATTAAGATAAAGAATCTTCATGCACGAGCTGTTCCAATCTCCATCTCAACACCTTATCATCCACCACTTCATACACCGCTTCAACACTATATTCGAAAAGAAATAAGCTCTCACCTCTGAAAACTCCAGATCGGCTAACCAGATCAAACAAGCGGCAGACATTCGAGCCAAATTTAACGATAATATATCTAATAAAGGGAGAAGATCAACAACCAATTCCGATCATCCCGAAAAATAATAATAATAATAATAATAATAATAATAATAATAATAATAATAATAATAATAATAATAATAATAATAATAATAATAATAATAATAACGGTCTCATCTATAAGTAACAAAGTTGGAATAATGAGTTAGAGAAAGAGAAAATAGAAAGAGTATGCGAGTGACAAGGGTGAGTCGCTATGGTTATGGTTAGGGGTGGTATCGGTTCGGTTACCAAACCGATAAGCGTATACCGAGATCGTACGGATAATGTCGGTAACCTCGGAATGCAAAACCGATACCAAACCAATTAAAGTCGGTTACCAAAAATTCGGTAACCGAAAACTTGGTTCGGTTTCGGTTCGGTATCAGTTTTATACCGAAAAAACCGAACCGGTTTTGAACACACACAAAAAAAAATGCTAGTATTTATTTTTCTCGTCATTTTTGTAATTTTTTTCACTTCTTACCAGTTAAATACACACAAAAGACACACAAATCCATTGTAAAATTAAAAAAGTTTAAAATTAATATATAAAAGTTAGTTTAAATATAATTAGATTATAGTTTTTGTGGTAAACGCAACTAATAAAACAATATATTGCTAACATGCGATAGTAATTACAATAATTGTGATCAACTTTTTCTCTCTCCTCGTGAAAAACCCTTTTCCCCAAACCAGAAAGCTTCCTAGCCGCAGCCAGCCTCACCTCCTCTCTGCTGCTCAATCCAAGGCGCCACGGTGCCGACCGTCACCAGCCCGAGCTGCTCGTCCCATTAGGAGTCGTCGCCCCCCCGATGTAGAGCTTCGCCGTGCTCACCGGTCGTTTATGGGTGGTGGAGCGGGTTCCGATTGGCGCCAAATTGGGTCAATCGACTGGTCCCGGCCTTCTCCGGTGAGGGGGTCCAGGTTGAGGTATCGTCCTTTTCTCTCCTTTTTCCGTTTCATGGTGGTGTTGGTTGGTGGGGGCTGGTGTCTCGTGGTTTTGGGTTGTGGTCTCGATCGATGGTTGGGATGGGATCGTCGGTCGGGAGTTGGGGAGAAAGGAGTTGTCCTCTGGTGTTGGTCTAGGGGTTGCCGTTCGGGAGAGGGGTTTGGTTCGATTGCAGTTACAATTAGCCGCTTGCTGGAGTTTTTGGTTCGGTTTCTCGGATTGGGTTTCTTTCCCTTGTGCGGACGTCTCTAGGTGTCGAGCCATGGATTGCTGCGGATTGTCTGTCGGCGAGAGGAGGGTCTTATTCTAGTATTGTAGTATTGTAGTGGTTGTGTTGTGTAGTGTTTTGGGTTGCCTTGTTGGCCTTTAGTTTTATTCTTCTGTGTAGAAGCTCGATTCTCCCGTATGGGACTGTTTCGATTCTCCCGGATGGGACTGTTTCAATTCTCCCGTATGGGACTGTTTAGTTCGTCTGTTTGTGGGTGCATTAGTGTAGATCTCTAGGCTACCATTTGTGTATGTCTCCGTTAGATTCACCTGGATAGGTGCTTGGCTATTCCTAGTTGTATGTAAGTTTGTAATTATGTGTTTTTATTAATCTATCTATCGTTTCGAAAAAAAAAATATTGCTAACATGCAAGAAATAAAATTTGTGATACAACTTCAACTAACTTATCTAGTAACGGTGGTACGAGAATGAGACGATTAGTAATGGTATTTTTCTCGTCATTTTGAGATTTAGGTAAGGTTGAACCATTATTTCAATTTTTGAACACTAAACAACTAATTCTTGTTTTAATATTTTTTAAAAAAATATTCGTTTTAATTTTTTGTTTTTATCCTTATCGGTTCGGTATTGGTTTTACCGAACTCTTATGGGTTCCAACCGATACCGTACCGATAATGATTCAGTAACCAATATTCGGTTACCGTTCGGTACGGTTCGGTTTATTTTCTCGTTGGTTCGGTTTTCGGTTAAAAAAATGTTAGCCCTAGCTATGGTGGGACACATAAAATGGTCATGAAATTCTTTTCAATGTATTATACTATCAACATCCATTATTAGTTCTTTTGGCGTAATAAAGCAGTGACAAACTGACTGACAATCCGTATGAAATTCTTTTCGATGTTATTCTTCATCCGCTGCTTAATTTCGTGGCGCAATAATTAGTGACCATCTGTAATCATATCTTACATTTAAATCCTATTTAATACTTCTATAATAGAAAAATTAAATTTATTCAATCTATTGAAACGCCCATTATCAATTTATCATCATCATCAGCATCACCAATACCAACCACGAGAAAAACCCCCCTTTTCAACCCACCACTCGCACACCAAACCCCATCAATGGCGGATAAACCACCCAAGCACAATATCAAGAGCAAAAAGCAAAAACACCAGCACCCAACCGACCAGGCCTCGGCCAAATCTGCCGCCGATCTCTCCTTCAAGCCCTCCTCCGACGTCAAGGGACTCCGATTCGGCGGCCAATTCGTGGTCAAATCGTTCACGATCCGGCGCGCGCGGCCGCCGGAGCTCCTCCGCCTCCTGTCCATCCCGCCGCCTCCACGGACGGCGTTCGCCTCCGCCGCGGCGTTCCTCCCGACGAACTTCACGATCCTCGCGCACCGCGCGTGGCACACGCTCACGCTGGGCCTGGGCACGAGGAAGTCGAAGGTGGTGGTGTTCGTGTTCGAGTCGGAGGGGCTGAGGGCGGCGGCTGAGCGGCTGTGGCCGGCGGAGATTCCGCTAGGGGAGGTGAACCGGAGGCTGATCCGGGGGATGGCGGGTTGCGAGATGGCGCGGTTCAAGTTCCGGAAGGGTTGCGTCACGTTCTACGTGTACGCGGTGAGGAGGTGCGGCGGGTCAGGTTTCGGGTGCGCCGAGGATCTGAGGGAGATTCTGCAGGCGGTGGCGGCGCTCAAGGATTTCCTCGACCACACGGCGATGCTCGCCATGCCCAACCAGAGGAGCATAAGCTACGCGCCGCCGCTGGCCGTTGCTCATTAAAACTAGGTTTGTTTGGTTTTTTATTTTTACTTTTTTTTTTCTTTTTTT